TGTGTGCTCGTGAGGCTGGTGGGAGCTTCGTTGAAGAGCATGAGGGGTCTCTTAGAATGTCTATCAGGGGCCTCTCAGAGAACCCTGGGGGGCAGCTGGTTCGCTTTCGGGTGCCTCGTTGAGGCCTTTTGGGAGCCTTTTGAGGGCGTCTTGGGAGCATTTTATGGTTTTTTGTTGGGAGCCTTTTGGGAGCCTTGGGGGACTCTGGGGGGCGCCTCGGGGATTTCTGGGTGGCTTCTGGGGCGATGACGGGGGGAAAGGAAGGCTCGAGATGCCAGTCCGTATTGCTCCTCTTGGGCTTTTCTCGGGGCCCTCGTAGGCCGTCTTCGGGGATCCTGGGGCCCTCTTGGGGCTCTCTTGGAGCTATATTGGGTCGTCCTCGGGCCTTCTCAGGAGCGTGTTTCTTTATCCCTTGGGGGGCATAATGGGCATAATAGCCCCCGGCCCCCACCCTATCACGTAACGCCCCTCCCCCCCAGTGCGCTCCGAGCACTGCCGCCGTGCCATCGGGATCCGCATCGGCGTCCGCATACAGGAATCCGCATACGAGCCTGGTCCGCATTGGTCCCAGAGGGACAAAGGGTGAGGGAGAAGGAGGAGGAGGAGGAGGAGGAAGAGGAGGAGGAGGAGGAGGAGGAGGAGGAGGAGGAGGTGGATGTGACGGAGGAGGGAGCAGAGAAGAATGTCGCATTCTATTCTCACCAGTTCCCTGGCGTGGTGTTTAGCTGTCCGCAGCAGATCTTCACCTACACGCTCGCTCTACCTGTCCTGTGCACGCAGGCACTGTGGTGTACATCAGCGCTGCGTGCACGCGGATGCTGAGGTGTAGACAGGCGCTGTGGTGTGCACAGGCGCTGCGGTGCACGCAAGCATTGTGGTGTACATAGGCGCTGTGTTGCACATGGTTGCGGTGTTACACATTCGCTGTGGTGTACACCGGCGCTGTGGTGCATGCAAGCACTGTGGTGTACACAGGCGCTGCGTCGCACACGGCTGTTGCGGTGTACGCAGGCGATGTGGTGTACACGCGCGCTCTGGTGCACGCGAGCATTGTGGTGTACACAAGCGCTGTGTTGCACATGGTTGCTGCGGCACATTCGCTGTGGTGTACACCAGCGCTGTGGTGCACGCAAGCTCTGTGGTGTACACATGCGCTGCGTCGCACACGGCTGTTGCGGTGTACGCAGGCGCTGTGGTGTATACGCGCGCTGTGGTGCACGCGAGCATTTTGGTGTACGCAGGCGCTGTGGCGTGGGGCAGGTCGCCACCTACATGCTGCTCGCGTCGTCGTCGTCGTCGCTCGACGCTCGTCGCTCGTCGCTCATCGTCGTCGTGCGCGCGGGTGCGGCTGTGGTGCCGGAGCCTCACGGCGGGGGGGGCGCGTTACATTCTACCCCCCCCCTACAATGCCCATTATCGCCGAAGACAAAGAAACGCGCTCGAGGGGCCGCATGGGCTGTCTTGGGATGATCTTGAGGGGCCCTTGGGCCATATTGGATGCTGCCCTTATGGAAAAAGGCGAGTCTGTCGAACGTGCACGTTTTCCAAGGGGAGTGGGGCGATTTCTGCGTTTTTGACCCTCAAGGGGGTTCTCTGGGAGCACTCTTGGGCTGTCCTGGGTGCCTCGCGGGCTGTCTTGAAGCCATCTAGGACCGTCGCGGGGTCGCCCTGGGCCGCCTCTACGCTCTCTTGGACTGTCGGCGCTCTGTTTGGGCCCTCTTGGGCCCTTTGGGGCTCTCTGGTGGCTCTGGAGGCTCTGGTGAGCCCCCAGGGTGCGTTGGCGAGCTCCTCCCCCGCCCACTTCAACGGGGTGTTGGGCCACTCGGGGGGGGGAATGCGAAGGGGGACGGCCACATGTCTCACATGCCTTTTCAACCCCAGCAAGCGGTGGTCGGCAGATCTGTTCCCGTTGTGCCGTGCAGTGGGGACCCAATGCCAAGAGACACCCTGCTCGCCTCCAGGGTGCCTTGGGTTTCTTGGGTTTCGATGGTTTTGCTATGGAAAGCTTGACGTTTCTTCACCGAAAATCAATGGACGTCCTGGGGTCTCAGGGTTGGGTTTCTTGTGGAAGGTTTCTTGTGGTCGGGCCCCTACTGTATCATTTTGTGTCCTAGGGCTCGGGTGTCTTAGATGGCCTTGATCTTCAACATACCCCTTTTCATGATATGCGCAAAGAAAAGTGTGGAGGGGCTTCGTGCATTAAAGAAGGAGTGGGAGGAGGGCGAGAAGCCGAAGGAGGAGGAGGAGGAACAGGATGATGATGAAGTGGCGGATACGGAGGAGGATGCACAGTATAGTGCCGTTGGTGATGAAGTAAGACCATGGGTATGATGATGTTGACGATTATGATGATTCATATGACGTTGTCGATGATGGTGAGGGTGTCTATGATGATGGTGATGCTGAGGATGATCATCATCATGATGACGATGACAATGCTGACACTACTGATGATTATGATGCTGATGATGTTGACGATGCTGATGATGACGACGATGCAGGTGACGATGGTGATGGTTGAAATGATGGTGATGGTGATTAGGATGATGATGATGATGATGATGATGATGATGATGATGATGATGATGATGATGATGATGATGACGATAATGATGATGATGATGATGATGCTGCTGATACTGATGCTGATGACGATGTTGGTGGTGGTGGTTCGTGATGATGATGGTGGTGGCGGCACTGCTGCTTATGCTGCTGATGATGCTGCTGATGATGATGCTGATGCTGATGCTGATGATGATGAGGATGCTGGTGATGCTTATTGTGCTCGTGCTGATAGTGAATGTGATGAGGATGATGGTGGTAAGGATGACAGTGGTGATGATAGTGATGATACTGCTGCTGATGATTGTGATGAGGCTGTCTGTAAGGGTGAGGCCGACGATGATGAGGATGTTGCTGATGCTGCTGATGATGATGATGATGATGATGACGACGACGATGACTATGATGATGCTGTTGATGGTGATGGTGCTGGTGATGATGGTGATGGCGATGGTGATGATGGTGATGATGCTGCTGCTGATGATGATGGTGGTGATCGAGCCAATGATGCTGACGACAGCGAGTACGGTGATGATGATGATGCTGATGGTGCTGACGTTGATATTGATGATGGTGGTGCCGATTGTAATGATGTTGGCGATGATGTAGCTGTTGCTGCTGGTGGTGATGATGATGATGATGATGATGATGATGATGATGATGATGATGATGATGATGATGATGGTGATGCTGATGCGAATGACGACGATAATGGGCGAACGAATGAAGCGGATGATGATTAGCAGCAGGCTTAGTAGGATGAACAGGAGGAGCAGGAGGACAGGAGGACCATGGGATGGCGGAGGAGGGGAAAGGAGGGTGGCGGCAACGACGAGCAAGGATTCGGCTCTAGAATTGTGGGCCGCGCTGGGGCGAGAGCGCTATGCTGACCGACGGGAGTAAGGTGCTGATGCTGGAATTGTGGCCGCGGCGGCGGACCTGCTTCCGTGAGGGGCCGACGACGCTCCGATCGGGGCGACAGACATCGCACATTCTGTGTCCACACTCCGGCATGTGAAGGCGTGCCGCGGGAGAGGCGTCCCAGGCCCCGAACAGCACCACGGGGGAGAGACGAGATGAGGCCCCTCCTGGCGGAGGAGGACGCGCCCGCTGTCTGGCCACCTGGGCCTCCCGGTCTTGCGATCGACGCGCTCCGCGAGCGCCCGCGGGGCCGCGGCCAGCGGCGGCCTGCGCCAGGTGCTCAAGTTCCTTCCTGGCGACCAGGCGCGGGGCCCCGCCGCGCCCTCGCCCCGCCCCCCCGGAGGGAGGAGCGGAGGAGGCCCGGGAGGGGGGAGGGCTTGGGGCTGGGAGGGGGGGCGGTGGGCGGGGAGGAGGAGACCCAGATGGAGGAGGACGAGGGGGGAGGAGGGGGCGGAGCGAGGAGGAGGAGGAGGGGAGGAGCAAGGGCGAGGAGAGGGGAGGAGGAGGAGGAGGAGGAGGGAGGAGCAAGGACGAGGAGGAGGCGGAGGCGGACGCGGAGGCGGAGGCGGAGGAGGAGGAGGAAGAGGAGGTGGAGGTGGAGGTGGAGGAGGAGAAAGACCAGTGTAAACCCAAGAGTCATCAACGACGTTGGAATTAACCTTCCCTCCAAGCTCCCTCTTCATTGGCCCCTACAACGGTTCATTTCCCTTGAGGGAACTGTTTCGTTGGAAGACAACTGTTTGAAGACCTTGAACTATGCCAAATCAGTATTTTTGGGATTCCAACGCCACGGATCAACCTGACTGTTACGTGTTGACGATGCTGAATCGTGCCAGAACGTGCTTCTTGGGAGTTCAACGCCGCGAATGAACGTAACTGTTGCACCATCAGAATGCAGAATCCTTCCAAAACACAATTTCTAGTACTTTGAGTGCAACTTTTGCAAATGTTCTTCACGAATGTGCGGGTCGCTAAGGCGAGAGCCACATTTTGAAAACGACCCGCCCTCAATCCGTGAATATCATGCATTGACAAAATACAAAAACGAATGCGCGCGGCGTCAAGGCCAGAACCACATTTTGTAAACGTGTTCTACGCAATCCGTAAAAGTTTTTTGCAATTTTTGAAAACGAATGTGCGCGGCGTCAAGGCCAGAACCACATTTTGTCAACGACCCGTCCTCAATCCGTCAAACTCTTTCAATATTTAAAATCGAATGTGCGCGGCGCTAAGGCGAGAGCCACATTTTGAAAAGGACCCGCCCTCCATCTGTGAAGCTGTGGCCAATTTTGACGCTTCACGGTCATAAGTGGCGAGGAAGTCTCAGGCGAAACGCCCGGCCCGCCCTAAAAATTGGCCTCGGGGTGCGACAGGGAAAAGTTGCTCATAAGGAAAAGGAATGGAGGAGAAGGATGTGGAGGAGGACGAGGAGAAGGACGAGGAGGAGGAGGAGGAGGAGGAGGAGGAGGAGGAGGAGGAGGAGTTGGAAGAAGAGAATGGATACTGAACACATGTGTAGGATGAGGTCTCGATGACGGAAGTTCAAGGTACAAGGGCCTGCTCTGGCCTGGGTGGCACAGCATTGCCACCTTCGCCGCGAGGCCCAGCAGGCAAGAGGGGCGGGGGCGTGGCGGAGGCGGGGCGGCATCTTCAGGGCGCCGAGGCTGGCGACGTCGCGACGGGCGTGGGCAGGGGGCGGGCGCTGCTCGTTCGCTCCCCGCTCCCCGCCCAGGCTGCTGCGTTCTCCGCCCCAGGCTGCTTGTCTTTCCCCCAGCTGCGCGATCTTGGGAAATAGGCCACTGGAAATCCTGGATAAGTTCTGAGCCCCAGCCTTCGAGAGTCTCGAGGAGCAAACCTCCTCAAGATCCCCAATTGGTGGGTCGAGAAACATGCGCGCATTAAGCACCATAGCGAATTCATGTCATGCCAAAGACGGGGTCTTACGTTTCGTTGGTTCTGTACTATCCTACAACAGAGCATTCCGGCACCCGTTAAAGGGATGCGGTGAAGCAGCAGGAGGAAGAATATGGATGATGATGACGGTGATGGTGATCACGACGATGATGATGAGGAGGAGGTGGAAGGGGGGCGAGTCAGGGGAGGATGATGATGATGATGAGGAGGAGGAGGAGGAAGGGGTGGAGAAGTAACGGGGTGAGGTAGGAACGGGGTTGGGCGCCTTCGTGTCACAGTCAGACAGACATATATGGGAACTTCTCGTTTGTTGCCGTTCAATAGGTCCTGTCTTGGAGTGTCCCTGGGGCCCGGGGGGCCCGCGCGTCGAGACATTCTCAACCTGTCGAGGTGGTTCCGCCCGATTTGCATTTGACATCCTCGCAAGTCTGCGTTCCGATACGACCGGATCTGAGATGGTCCAAGCCATTTCGCCTGAGACATCCTGGCAGTTCCTGCCTCTCCTTCTCTCCGTCTTCGCCCCTCCTTACCTGTCCTCCTCCTCCTCCTCCACCTCCTCTCCCTTCTGCCAGCGCCCTTGGGATCTTGGCGGGGACGTCGAACTTGCGACCGGCCAGAGGAGGAGGAGGTGGCGGAGTCGGGCGCATTCGTGTCATATACGTTTTCGTTGCTCTCGGGAGACTCTTCGTCGCCACGGTTGGACGCGCTACGAAAGTGTCTTGTGATGTGGCGTCGGTGCCTGGCCCGCCGTCGCAGATCAAGGCACGCCTGGTCGACGTAATGCTTTTTTGTTGCATTGTGTCAACCAGTATTTTCAGTCCGCTCTCAATTGAAAAACGTGTGTGGGTTCCGTTTGTGGAAGAGGGCCGTCTGTCATATCGCCACATCCCCCGTATTGTGTAGAGGATGAGGTACAAGAGGAGGAGGAGGAGAGGGAGGACGGGCCCGGGGGAGGAGTATTGTGGATGATGAGGGAGAAGAGAGCTGAGAGGGGGAGTGAAAATAGTGAGCAAATCTGGGGGGGCGCGTGCCTTTAAAATTCGTGTTCTCGAAGGGGGAAGCGCTCGCAAAATTTGCAAAAATCGTTTTTTTGTATATTCTGGAGATTGACGCTGGGGACCACATGTGTTTGCCAGAGTTTAGAGTTTTCGTGCTGCGCTGCAGAACAGAGGGTTTTGCCAGGACGTCACCACTGAAATGCACGCTCGCGCGCGCCACGCCGCAGACACACCACGGGGACACCTCCAGCACGCCGGGCACAAAATCGCACCGACGCGCATAAACACGTGGAGCCACGTATGTGATTTGTATGCGACGTCTGCATGTTTTTGGTGTGTTGGCGGTGCTCGTTTCGCAGGTTTGCGCGGGGGAATTTGTTTTCATTCCCTTTAAAGGAATTAACGTTTTCCCCCCAAGCCAGCCTGCAAAAGAAGCCCCGCCAGCACACCTCAAAACATGCACACGTGTAGCATAAATGACGCAAGTGCTTTGACGTGTTTATGCGTGTCGCTGCGATTTTGTGGCCTGTGTGCTGGTGGTGTGCCCGCGGTGTGCGCGCGGTGCGGTTTCCCATGACTGTTCCCATGCCCACGATGATCCTTGCCCTACGATTTTTCATGACTGTTCTCATGGAAACAAAGGAGCTGCAATCCAAGAAATCGTTTCCGCTCTGGCCGAGGAGTGGTTTTCGGACGCCCCCGGAGGCCCATAAACATGTCATCTTGGATGCCATCTTGTGCTCTAGCACGCGGCGCTCGGGCCAGGAACAACACCCATTTCATAAGGAATCTGCGGGTTCACCTTGTTTGTTGAACTTCTTGTATACATGTATTCCTTACTTAGCCCACCCAGTGCCAACTTGGAGACCATCTTGTGCTCGAGCACGCGGCGCTGGGTCCAGCAGAAGGCTCAATTCGATAGAAGAATGTGCGGGTTCAGATCATATGTTTATTTTCATAGGGAAATCTGCGGGCACAAGTTGTTTGTTGAACTTGTTGTTTGGCTTGTATTCCTTCCCTGGGCTATCATGTCCCATTTCGGGGACTACTTTGTGCTCGAACGTTGTGCGCAGTTTTCTGCACAATGGTTCATTTCATAAGGGAATCTGCGGTTCGCTGGAACATACAAAATACATGAGGGAATCTGCGGGTTCAGGATTTTTACATTGTGTGTATTGTGCTATCCCTTGCAATATTGGATGCTATCTTGGGCCATCCCTTGCAATATTGGATGCTATCTTGGGTCATCTTGGGCTATCCCTTGCAATATTGGATGCTATACTGGGCCATCTTGGGCTATCCCTCCAATACTGGATTTTATATTGGGCTTTCCCTTGCAATATTGGTTTGCCTACGTGGGCTATCCCTTGCAATATTGGATGCTATCTTGGGTCATCTTGAATGCCCCAGGATGCTGTTAAGAGGGCCCCAAGATTGCCCTGTGCTTTTCGCTCGGCGCTGCTCGTGCTTCTTTTTGCGCAGTAGACATTTTGGCTCAATGTCCTCACGGGCGTCTCAGGTAGCCACTGCCTTGCGAGACCCTTTGGCTGACCCTGCTTCTCTGGAGCAGGCTTTCCGTCATGCGCAAGAGCTGACGTCTGCGTGCGCGTCGCTCGATGCATTGAGACAGTTGCTGGTGCATGAGGCGCTGGGCAGCGCATTGCGTTACTTTTCCAATAGGGTTGATTTGCCAGGCCACTTGCAGGAACAAACGAAATGCTTTATCAAAGAAGTTTCTAAGAATGCCCGGCAGCGGGGGCAAGGAACAGCGCCTCGTGCTGCGGCGCCCATGCCCTGCGACATCCAGGTCTCTTCTCCGTCATCGCCGGTCATTGAGATCGCATGTCCCGAAGCCCGCAGCCTTGCAGAGTCGCCAGATTGCGATGTGGATGAACCCTCCCATCCAGAGGAAAGCGACGTTGAAGTCGAGATGCCCGTTGGCCCAGACAGCGCAGAGGAGCCGACCAGAGCAGCGCCCACTGCGACCGCGTCTGTTTTTGAAGTTCCCGGGGAAGTCGCACCTGGGCGAAAGTTGTGGGTGCCGACTCAAAGGGGTTGCCCAATCCACCCCCAGTCTGCCAAAGTATTGAGCAACGCTGCGGAGGTATTGAACCACTTATTGTCTGACGGGCCCGTAACCCAAGGCACCAGACGTGCAAAGCGCAAGCGGAAAGCTGAGCTGCGGGAGGCATCCTCCCGCGAGGTCCTTGCAGAGTTGGCTGGGCGACTCCATCTTCCACGGGGTTGCGCCAGGGGCGCTGGATTGTCGCATAAGTTTGTCTCTGGGTTGACGTGCGTCCCACCGCGGACAGTTCAGGACCTCCATCGGCAGTACTCTTCTGGTTATCGCGTCCCTCAGGCCATCGACCCAAACGCCGAAGAAGAAACGCC